CCTCTCTGGACCTCTCTGTTCTGCGTCTGAACTTTGATTTCCCTTTCTGTCTCCTCAGTCAACGTGGTGGAGGCCCTCCAGGAGTTCTGGCAGATGAAGCAGTCGCGCGGGGCCGACCTGAAGAACGGAGCCCTGGTGGTCTACGAGATGGTCCCGTCCAACAGCCCCCCGTACGTCTGCTACGTCACCCTCCCCGGGGGGAGCTGCTTTGGCAGTTTCCAGGTACGACAACTCAGCTGGGGGCTGTCCCCCCGGCACCACTCACTCCCCAAAACCTTCAAAACGGGGTGCCCTGAGAATCTTTCCCCACCAAAATTAGCGCTTAAACACACCGTTAACGTTTTCCTGCTGATCTGAAGCAGGAGGATGAGGTGGGTCTGCCTCTTTAACTTTAATCTGGCTGGTAAGGGTTGCTAATTGCCTATAAAACCCCACCCAGCTTCAATCCGTGAAGGTTTGGCTGTAAATTTTACTTTGTTGTACATTCTCTATTCCCTCCACGTGACTGATGTCCCTCCACGTGACTTTGCAGACACGTGGCACGAGAGAAAAACTACGCTCAGATTGGCCCGGTTTTGGCACCTCATTCTCTTTCCCAGGATTAAGCAAAGATTTAATTACATCATTTAAATGTCTGTACAAACTGGTGGAGGAATATTTCCTCGCGAGGGCTCTGGGTTTCACCCAGAACCTCTTCTCAAGGTGCCAAAAGACTCGAGAAATCAAATTGTGACATCGGATCGATGGTTTCTCCCCTCTTTCTCTTAAAAAGGAAAACATCCAACCCAAATACCTCCCCCGAAAGATTAAGGTCCAAAAATCACAAGGGGTCCTGTGTTTCGGATTCCTTTGCTGCAGTGGCTTTAGGTGGTTACTCTCTCCTCTTGGCTTGAAGAACTTGGCTCCAAGAGAAACAGTTCCTGCCCCTCCTGAAGAGCACGTCCTCGTGCTGGAGAGCCCCTTTGGTTACCTTTTGGTTTTAAGCTCGTTAATTTTCCTCGACGACCCCGTGGGTGGCGTTTCCTGCTGCGGACCCTCTGTGCTGAGCTCAAGCTCCTGCCTCGTCGCCGCGGTTTAAAACTCTAATAATTTCAGGATGGCTGAAAACCATGACTTTCTACCCGCCCCTTTCCCACCTCGTGTCCTGTGGGGAATTGTTCAGAGGGGCTGGAGGGATCTCTGTCTGTCCTGATGGTGTTTTCTCTCTCCTCAGTTCTGCCCAACCAAGGCTGAAGCCCGAAGGAGCGCGGCCAAGATCGCACTAATGAACTCGGTCTTTAACGAGCATCCCTCGCGCAGGATCACCGACGAGTTCATCGAGAAGAGCGTTTCAGAGGCCCTGGCATCTTTCAACGTAAGGTTTCTCTGTGCCCGGATGCTGGGGGGGGGGAAAAAAACCCCTCAAATAGCAGGAAGAGACATTTTCTTTGACATCTGGAACTCTTTACGTCAGGTTTTGGGGTTTTTTT